GCTGTCCTGCCAAAGGTCCAAAGAAATGGGCCACTTAAGCTACTTAAGCCCACTTAAATGGGCCATGGAAAGAAACTTTCAAAACCATAAGCCAAATTAAATATTTTCTCTTTATAAATTATCTATTTCAGGCATCTCATTATTGTAATAGGAAGCTGACTAATACACAAACTCAATCAATATTTCTTTGATCTGTATAAGCCTGTAGGTCAACGACTCTCAGGCACTGTTCTCCCAGAGTTCACTGTTTTCAACTCTAGAAGAGATTAGGACCGTTCTGCTGTGGGTGCTTGGCAGGGGTGCATATATCTCCACCTGCCTTGTCTCATGGCCTGCCAGGACCTGCTAGCCAAGTGGGTCCAACTTATGTTACGAGGGCTGGTCTTACTCTCTCTTTCTTGTATATAAATAAAGCATTGTTCCATCCAGTGTTTGTGCTGTGTTTTCCCAATTAGGATAGTAAGATTCAATAGGAAGGCATGTTTTGAGTCCTCTCTAGGATTGAGAATCAGTGCCTATTGCTCTGTTCCCCAGTAATTGATAATTGGGCACGATATTCTCCTTATTCTCTATGACTTTTGCTAGAGAATCTGAAATTAAATTAGCAGAGCTATACTATCCAAAGTTTCAGACCATGACATGTAGCTTCTCATTTGTTTTTATTAGTTTCTTCCCTGTCAATTAACATTTTTACATTACTTTGTCTAATAATTCTTTCTTTTACTATATTTCAAATTTGACTTCTGTTTGAAACATATTCTCTGATCCTAGATCATGGTTTCTCCATGTTACAATGATAATTGTCATCTAGTTCCCTCCTTTGGGTGATGGGCAGTTTGACTCTACTCCTAGATTATGAATTTCTGAGGATGCAACTACATTTCACTAATTTAAATCATAGAATGTGGTAGAGGTAACTGTATATTTATAGGATTAGTACACTCATGAATGGAGACACCACATTGAAAATTGAGATTTGTTCATTTGCAGCATAGCTTCCATTGCAAATTTACCATTAAGTATGATTTCTCCATATTAGTCAGGGTTCTCCAGAAAAAAAGAACCAACAGTAAATTTAGCCAACTATCTATATATCTATTTATCTCTACTTACCTTTAAATCTATGCATCTATTTCTATATCTAAACCTATATTTACATATAAACTCTATAAAGATTTTGTTTTTAAAAGAAATAACTCACACAATTATGGAGACTGTTAGTCCAAAATAAGTAGAGAAGGAGGTAGGTTAAAAATTCAGTGACAAGCTATTGTGGCAATATTGGGTTCAAAATCTGCAGAATGGAAACTCACACAATGTTTCAATGTTGCAGCCTTGAGATAGAATTAATTCTTCTTCCAGAAACCTCTGTCTTTGCTTTTAAGGCCTTTGACTCCTTGTATGAACCTCATCCAAATCACAAAATAATATGCTTTATTCAAAATCTGCTAATTTATGTGATAATCACAACTAAAACATTCATATAAGAGTCTACATTGATGCTTGACCAAACAACTGAGTACCACAGGCTAGCAAAGTTGACATATATAATTAATCACCACAAGTTTTTGTATCTTGTATCTTCTGTTCTTTCATCTATGTGGATTTTATTTATGACTTTAAACAGGTGGTACAGGAATAGGTTTTTGCACTGTGTGTTAAAATGATAGAATGCTCTCTTCCACTGAAGTCTCTGATTCTAAGCTATTTTCTTTTCCATCATTCCTGGTGCTGGCTACATAGTTAAACATCTTTCTGATTATATACATGTTGATAATATATTTTTTAAGATGGGAGCTGTGCCCTACTGGACGCAATCAGAGGTGGTTTCTGTGCTTGGAAAACATCCATATTGGACAAATACAGGCATTCTATGCTAAATTATTCTTGAGAGTAGAGGTACAGGGTCTAAATGCTGAAAGCACATAACACTTAGAAAACAGGAATCAAGGTGTGTTAACAGCAATAAAATAGTAACAGGTAACATTTATTATGCTTTTAATGTACCATCATATCAAAGCATCCTAAGTGCTACCCAGAACTATATAATTTTCACTGAAACAATCACAGAAAGTTAATATTAACTTCTCCACTGAACAAAGGATATAATAAAAGTTTAAATTATTTTAAAAGTTACATATAGTACAACTTGAATTTATGATATCAATTAGGCATTGCCATAAGAATGCTGAATAATACAGAATTCCAGCATGTGTGGATTTGATACCATGGCCAGTAACACTTTTCTTTCCAATACACAACTATGTAGTTTGGCCAGGTATATCTGCTTCAAGTTCTGACTCCTCACTGAGATCAGGCTCAGATCTCCTTTATGTGCAGAGCCCAGACTGAAAGGGCAGTGACAACATTTTCCAGGAAGATGCCAATCTCAATTCCCAAGTATATTTTAACCTTCTTGTTTTGTCATATGTGGTATGTGAAATCATGAAAAATTCTACATAACATATACTCAGTTTGGTCAGAGAGAAAGCTTACTAACTGGGAGCCTAGAGGTCATCTGGCAGATTACACTTGAAGTTAACTCAGAGTCAGGTTGAAAGTAACATTAACCTTTCACTCAGCTAATGCTTCAAGCTGCCTGCAGCCATAATAGCAAGTCGTGCAATTTGTCCAGAATCTGCATCCAGAGACTATTGTTGACCAATTAGCTATGAACAAATGGGTTTTACCACTTGTCTGAACCAATCATAATTATTTTAAAACAACTTGTGACTTTTTCAATCCTAGTCTTTTGTTCTCTCTCTGAAATATACTTTCAGTTTTACTGAAATCTACCTACTGAATAGCAATTCCTAAGGCTCTAAATAATGCTCTTTTGTATTTTTTAGCATCAATACTGGTTTTTAGTTGACAGGTTATCTCATTGGTTGAAGAAAATCACATGGTCAGGCTCAAAGACAAGATCTTTACAGTCATATGGTAAAGGTTGTACATGGCAGAGAGTAAATTTAATAAAAAATGATGTGTTTTTATGCCATTAAGATTCATTCAGTGCCTTCCAACCTAGGAAATATACTAATGAATTTACATATTCAATTTCTTCATTCACTACAACATATCAATAAGATAACTAGAATACTTTCATTTATAAATCTGGGAGTTAGATATGTTTATCAAGGCTACAAGCCAACAAATAATATGTTTTCATATACTAAGCTCTATTGAAGACACAATTGTAGTCAATAATAATTTATATTCAAACTTCTTTGAAAAGTCTTCTCATTTAAGTAATGTTTAGTTGATCTTATTTCAATATTTGGTACTTTTAAACTTTGGGTGCCTACATAAAAAATAAGGTTAATAAGATTACACTTAAGAATATAATTTGTTAGAAACAAGTTACTCCCCTTCTAAGCAAAGTTCAAGGCCTGATAATATGAAAAGTTAATATATTGAATTAGAAGTTTGAATTTAGGAAATCCTTAAATAGCTGTGAAATAGCAGACAGCTTATTTAATGCTATATTACTACTTTGACAATTTTTTTTTCTTTTTAGTATTACCAAAATTAGTTTTCGAATTGGAATAATTTTGCAATGACAGATATTTTATTGCAGTCCTGATTTAGATTTTCTTCTGAAATAGATTTCCTTCTAACAATCTTTTTTTCAATATTTATTTTTTAATTGTAATTGAACTCAATACCTTTATTTATTTTTATGTGGTCTTAGGATGGAACCCAGGGCCTCACAAGTGTTGTACCTCTGAGCTACAACCCCAGCCCTGCTTCTGACAATCTTAAATTATACAGATTGTTAGAATTATTTACATAAAACTGCATTTGTAATTTTACTAATAAAGCCATGTTGATTTTTATAGTCTTTTTATTGTTTCTCTTTATCAGTTTTTCCCTACCATCCATAAGCCATTTGTATTTTCAATTCTGTTTAAGGAGCACTTAAATATACTTGTTAGAATCGGGAAGAAATTTTAGGGACTTATTTAGCTTTTACTCTAGCCAGGATCTCACCTGTCTCAATAGTGGTATTTGCAAGGATAAAGAGATCTTCATGATGGGTATTGATTAGGAGAGCAGAAGTTTTCATTTTCTTGCCTTCCACACATTTTACTCCTTTTATGCCTTCTTTCCTCCTCTAATCAAGGATCTGGCAAAAATGTGGCTGGATTCTGGATGATGGAAACACACTCGAATAAAGTAGCTCATAGATCTTTGTACATCCTTCATGAAACAAAGGACATATGGAAAGATCATTATTTTTCCTGTTGATAAGTATAACAGAAACAATTGCCACTGAACATTTAATATGTGTTCGGCACTATCATAAGAACTAAACTCCTATTTTATTTAAAACTCACCACAGCCCTGAGGTAGACATTTTTACTCTCAGTTTATAAAGATTTAGTAAATTTTGCTAAAAACTTAGCATATCAAGCAGACAGCAAAGAAGGATTTTATTACAGGCCTTCTGACTCCCAGTGAAGACAGATTTAAAGATAGGTAGTTAGTGTAGTTAGGTAAATATGGAGTCCAATCTGAGCCTGGGAACTACACCTGGGTGATTGAAATGTCCCCAAGGCCAGGCCCATTCTAAAGAACTGTTAATGAATAGAGCAGCTCCCAGCTAATAGGGAAGTGCTGATCAAATCACCCTAGGCTCTTTCTGCCTGGATCACTCCTCCCCCGCCCACCCTATCAGCCCACCTGTTTTCCACCATTTGGCTTTCCCACCTACATCCTCAACCACATTCAGAGTAGAGAGAAATAAGCAAGATAAAGGACAAAAACATAGGAGGACAAGAGAAGACCTTAGATATAAAAAGGATAAACCCTCCCCATCCCATGGATTCCTTCCCCTTTCTCCTGGGGTAGGAGTCTTCTCTGCTATTCTTTAATAAAGACTTTTACTTCCCACTTGCCTCAGCCTGCTTCTCTGGTGTTATAGTTCAGGATTTGGGGCCACTGGTAACCAGCGGTATCACTAGGTTTATACTTTCTCAATCTTTATGCTTTGTCCTTAGATAATGCACAAAGTGACACAGGATCCATCTGGAAGAAAACCTCACCCAAAGACAAGGAACTTGGAGAGGAAACAACTAGGTGAAGACCTCATGGAAAAGAAGGTATACTTAGATTTGTTGAAGAGCCAGCATGGTGCAGTGGGTACATTTAACACCTCTAGAGGCAGGCTGCTTATCTTCTATCCCCATTTCACCATTTGCTTATACAGGTTTCTATCTCTTAGAATCTTAATTTAAATGTCCTAATCTATTAAATAAGAACACAGGTACCTGCCTCACACTATTTCCTTGACTGATTAATGTGATATTTACTCTGAAGTATTTGGAACATAATTTGGTGTTCAATAAATGGTAGAAACATTACTGAAGTTTAATTATGAATTGGTATATAAAAGGCTAGAGAAGAAAGGAGGTGGATGGAGAGAATGTTACAGGCAGAAGGATTTGCTCTTTCTCCGCCCCTTATGTTTTTATAAGCCATCTATAAAAAGGAGGAAATAAATTGAACTTACATTAAAGAATAAATAGTTGTGATTTCATATGAGATGAAAAACGTGCATTTATCTAAATTTTAGAAAATCAAGAGTACAGAGGGACTTATAAAAAGTAAGATCTGTCCTCTGAAGCTCTGTGAGATGTGTCTTCTGACTACAGGGTGAAGATGTGATTTGTAGCAAAATTTTTTTCCTCTATGAATGACTAAGATATGGATTTCACATGAAGACTATGCTGCTGAAAAGGCTAACATCTATGTAGATGAACAATAAAATTAATCCATTGACAGTTTGTGAAGAAAGGGTATGAATTTTGTAATTAGATCACATAGCATCTTAATTTCATCACTCCGTATCAACTGTGTCCTTGAATAAGTGACTCATCTTCTTTCTTTCACTTTATTGTATTAGCCATTAATTATATGAAATATATGCACAAATATCAATATAAAACTTATATCTACATTTTGAAAACAAATTAGCCAAGCATTGGAAAATATTTACTAACCATTTAGTGGAAAGTAACTGCCTGTCCCTCCACTTTGCTGTTCTCTCCTTCCAACCCTTTCCCCAGATGTAATTCTGCTATCCTGTATTTCTACCATATAGGTCTGGATTCCATGGCATTGCAGTATGGTTTTGCCTTGCTTCAGTAACAATCATATTGACTTATTACTCTATGGCTTGTTTCTTCTGCTCAATATTATGTTTGCAGGTGTGGTCTCTGTTGATTTGTAGCTTTAAGTCATTTATTTTCAATGTTATACAGCATTCAATAGAATAAAAAAACACAATTTATTATTCATTTAATCTCTTATCCACAAACAATTCTCCCCATCTCTACTCCCCAGTCTGAATCTCTATTAATTAAACAACTTGCTATGAAGATTCCTACATATATCACCCAACATGCAGATATATACCTAACTGTAAATGTGCTGGTAACATAGTGTGCATTCTTTAGTTAATTGCTGTTGTACCAATCAGCAATGGTATTTGGTATTTCTAGCATTTCAAAATTTTTATTCTCAGTCATAATTTTTTTTTGCCAATATGATAGGGTTAGTAGTCATATCAGATAAAGGTTTTGAGTTAGATCTTCCTGATTATTACAACTTGGTGATCTTATATACCTATTAACCATATAAGTCTCTCCTTTGTGAAGTTTCTATTCAAGACTTCAAACTGAAGTTATTTTAATTGGTTCCGGGTACTACATTACTGTTGATTTTATATGCTGGAAATGTGCCATCTCAGTATGCAGTTGTGTTATTTCACTTATTAATAGTAATCTACTGAGGCCCTGAAATTCTTAATTTGAATGTAGTTGAGAAAATCTTGTCTACTCCAAAGCTATAAATTTTTTTTTCTATATTATCTTCTAAAAATTATGTAATTCTTCCTAATTCTTCAATCCACCATGAAAGAGTTTCTGTACAGTATGGAATCAGAATATATGTTACTGGAATAAGTGCTACTCAAATCTCCTTGATTGGGAAGCATAATCTGAGACATTGGCTCAAGGACACTCCATTGTCTTAGACAAACTTTTAAAAAGCAGAACTGCAATCAGAAACTTTCTCAAGGGCAGGGACTGTGGCTCAGGGGCAGAGCACTTGCCTGGCATATATGAGTCACTAGGATTGAGCCTCAGCACCACATAAAAATAAATAAATAAAATACAAGGACTGTGTCCATCTACAACTAAAAAAAAAAAATTAAAAAAGAAAAAGATAGTCTTTCTCCCTTGCTCTGCCTTCCTTCCACATCCTTCCTAGAATGAGACTTGACTTAGTGTTTTATATCTTTCTCCATTTTTCTTGTCTTATTCTCCCTTTAAACAGATATTTTCTCCAGTAAACCTTTTGCATGGCTAATCTTGTTTCTTTGATGATCCATTTTATTTTTACATATATATTTTTTCCCTATAGGTATCCAGTTGTTCCTACATCTGAGCTTCAGTTTTGTTTTCTATAAAATTTTATGTATCTTCCTAATGTTTGCTCCATTGTTGAGAGAGCTAAATCATAAAGTTTAAAAATATTATCTGCTATTAATTAATTTCATTCCTCAGGTTATCCCTTATCAAAATGTAGAAGAATTGTAATTCACTTTTCATGAACAGAATCTACTGTTGGGTGGGCTCTGCAATAAGGTACTCTACCTTTGGGCAAGCTGCTTGATTTTCTTGATCCTCTCCTTCACCATTTACAAAGCTAAGAAGAGATAATCTGTTCTACCTAGTTAGTTTTAGCTAATTAGGTATTGTACTTAACATTTTTTTCTAATTTGAAGCTAACAAATTAGTTGAAGTGTATAAACATTTTAAAGATTGTAAAGAAATATAAATTTGAGGGCTAGACATTAGCAATTTGAAACTCTAATAATTATGAGCTGGTGCTTTACAACTTGCTTATATCTTGTCCACCCATTCCATAGTTTCAGAATGCTAAGTTTAAATAAATTATTTGCAAGTGAATATTTCTTAATGCTGAGTAATCATAATTCACATGCACATACATACACAAATACAGAGAGATTCGTATAATAAATATTTCTTAACTCCACATCGAAAACTTTGATTAGCATTTACTAACCTATGCATTAACCCTTTGAATTTATGAGTTATATAATGATCAGAGCAAAACCAAATATGTAAAATGTAGTTTTAACTCTCTTGTATTCAGATAGTCCCTTTTGTTGATAGTATACCATATATTATGTGATAGCTGCAAACTTTGAAAAATGACATCAAATATTCACACTGAATATAACCACATTTAAAACATTTAGGTATTGTCTAGAATAAAAATAAAACATATGAAAGAGAACTTTGTTTTCTGACAATTACAGCTATTACCTCAACTTTCAAAGAGGCAATTCAAAATTTATTTATGATTTAATTTTAACTCCTTCATTACATTTAATGTCATCTTGTTCATCTTTGACATTTTTATGTATCTTAATATATTTCCATATCAAATTCCATTTCTGCAGATATTACTTCTCAATACAATCTCCATGTAAACACAAAGCAAAGGTTTCCAATATTTATTTACTATATTCAGGCCACCATTTGCCTATTTCAAAAATATTTGACAATTTTTCAGTATAGCCAAATAATATATGAAGTTCCATAATGATTAGTATAATAGAATTCTACCAATTTATGATTGCAGGTTTATATGTGTATCATTGATTATCAGGTAACTATACATTTTTACTTATAGAAGACAAATGAAAAATGACCAAAAAGGCCATATACAATAATTTTTAGAACCCAGTATAACCATTGTGATGGTATCTATAAGAAGTTGTAAGCCTCACTTCTTCTCTACTAAAAGGTATTTTAATCTAGGATACATCATGGTAAAAAAGTTCAATTAGAAAATATAATTTAACTGATATTTGCCCCATAGAAGAAAACTGATAAAAGAAATAAGGAAATCATAAAACATTTATATATTATATATATTTATTTATATAGAAATGTTTTATTTATATATAAATGTTTTATTTATATATAAATGTTTTATTTATATGTAAATGTTTTATATACATTTATATATATAAATGTATATAAATATATATATGTATATATATAATTTTAAAACATACACAAAGCATTATAATTGCCTTATAAAATTAAAGATACTGGGCAATATCCTCTTAATTCATTCCCTAGATTCACAGATGTTAACAAATTTATTCCAGGAAGAATCTGCACTTGCTTCTTAAATAAAAGGTCCTGTGATTAAACAAGTTAAGTCCATGCTTTTCTCAGCAATGTCAATCACTTAAAAAAAATAATCTTTATCACTGCAGAGATTCTCAGCACTCTGAGGTAACACATGGAATCTGCAATAGGAAGCACAGATTAACAGTGGTTTCCAAACATGTATGACTATAAAACCCAGTTTTCCCTCAGAAATTTTTATAGAACATGCATTGGCATATGCTAATCTAGGCATTAAGTACATTTTGAATTTAGTGATAGGAGAGATAACTCTTGGTAAAAAGGTGGGAACTTTTTTTACATAATTAGTAATTATATAATGGTTTGGATCAAGGAGCAGGAATGAAGGAAGAAAACAGCATTCTAGGAAACAGTTTCAAAAAGCATAATAAGATCAATAGGCTCATTAAACCATGAGGGAAAGGAAACAGTTGACATTATGTTTGCATCTAGAGAATGTAGACAGTTTCTAGATTCTCTGATAATTGGAAAAGAAGATTGGATTTCAACTTTAATTCTGACTATATCTACTTAAATCTTTATTCCTTCTGGGATAGCATTTCATGATTATTGTGAAGTAAGAATCTGATTTCATTTTCTTACTATAAGAATAAACAGTTCTCTCTCAACACTGTATACTGATATGATCTATTTGCCATTTGGGGGTAATACCAGTTTTATCATAAATCATGTCCATAAATGTATTTCTGTGTTTTTTATTTTGTTTTCTTTGGGCTTATTCATCTTTAGATTAATACCTCACAATATAATTTCCAAAGGTTAGAGCAAGTCCATTTACATCGATCATCTGATCGTCTTCAAGAGCATGCTCTGTAATTTTGTAGAGTTTTAAAAACAAAAACAAAGCAAAT